ATTTTATATTTTGTTTTTTCACATAAAATATCTCTATTTTTTCTGTATGTATATATTCCAAGATTTTTCTCATTATTTTTAAATATTTGTTTAATACTTTGTTAAATATATATGCCATAATTTTTAAAAGAGTACTCTAGCAATGAATATTAATGTTAACGTCAAATGTTTTAGATGGAGAGTTTTCTATTACAAACAATACTAAAAGGGACATGCCTGTTCATGTATTTCATGTGAACATATAATAGTTATTTTGTCAATTAACTCCAACAAGTGAAAGATCTAGGGAAAATGGTATGTACATTTCTGATTTTTTAGAGATATTACCAAAGGATCCTTCTAAAACATATATATAAGGATATTTTTTTCTCCACATCTTCACCATCACTGCTAATCTTTGCAAATCTGATAGGTAAAAATAATTTCCTGTTATTCTTTTAATTTAAAAGAAATTAAAACCACAAATTCAAATGGACAATCAAACTCACAAAGCACAATAACTTTGATCTAATGCTATGCTTGGTTTAGCTTTTAAAGATGGAAACTGGATGGGAAATACAGCACATGCATTGTCTTCATTTTACCACAGCTGCCATACACAGCCTCAATAGTGAAGCCCCCATAACACAGAACCTACATGCAGCTTCTTTGTCTCTCCACTCCCACGTCTCATCCATCTATGAAACACTCATCTCCTGAGAGTGAGATCAAGTAGTTCGCCTTGCCCTAGAGAAACGTAACCTTGGTTTCTACCCATGCTTTTACGTTATAATCACACAGCCCAAGACCTCCATATGTATTGTAGCTTTCTCAGCTATGATTCAAATCAGGGGCTGCCTAGTAAAATTTGACTTGTGGTACTTCACATACTCCATTCATCTTAACTCAGAAAGTTAAAAAATAGGGTTACTTGTGAAGGCAGATGTCACCGTCCCAGGCAGTTGTAGGTTTGTTCAGGGGACAATTTTAATCTTTCACTCAAACTTATGAGTTATTTTCTTATGTCGTCGTTTCTATTTCTCCTCCACAAAATGTTTTAATAGATTTGCCATTCACTTTTGAATTTGTGTATGATTTGTTGGTTGTTCTTTGTGTATTAGGAAATTGGTCTTTTGTCTTAAAAATTTTAGTATTTGGCTTTATCCTTTGGATCTAGATGATTTTTTTCCCTATAGAAATATTTTAAAATATTTCCTTTATGGGTTCTGGATATTATACCTTACACACATTAACCATCTGTTTTAGGTATTTAAATATTTGTCCATTTAGGAATTAAAAATCCTGTATTTCAGAGTTGTAGGAATTAATATCTTATGTTTTAAAACAATTAGATAAGTATTAAATCCCCGTAGTGCATTTAACATACAAAAGTAAAGCTATATGTAAGAGAGAGACTAAAAACAATAACATGAATAAACTTTGAATAATTAAAAAAATAATTAAAAAATGTAAAATGTGGTGTAAAATTTGAATTTTATTCTTTTTTTACTTATAATTGGCTACTGCATTATCCCAACATCATTTATCAAATAATTCCTCATTTCCACTCTGTTTTAAAATGCCTTCTTGGACTTACCAAACTCAACACCCAAAGAACAAATAATCCAATCTAGAAATGGGCAGAAGACATGAACAGACATTTTTCCAAAGAAGACATCCAAATGGCCAACAGACACATGAAAAAGTGCTCAACATCGCTCGGCATCAGGGAAATCCAAATCAAAACCTCAATGAGATACCACCTCACACCAGTCAGAATGGCTAAAATTAACAAGTCAGGAAACAACAGATGTTGGCGGGGGTGTGGAGAAAGGGGAACCCTCCTACACTGTTGGTGGGAATGCAAGCTGGGGCAACCACTCTGGAAAATAGTATGGAGGTTCCTCAAAAAGTTGAAAATAGAGCTACCATACGATCCAGCAATTGCACTACTGGGTATTTACCCCAAAGATACAAATGTAGGGATCCGAAGGGGTACGTGCATCCCAATGTTTATAGCAGCAATGTCCACAATAGCCAAACTATGGAAAGAGCCAAGATGTCCATCGACAGATGAAGGGATAAAGAAGATGTGGTATATATACACAATGGAATATTATGCAGCCATCAAAAGGAATGAGATCTTGCCATTTGCAATGACGTGGATGGAACCGGAGGGTGTTATTGCTGAGTGAAATAAGTCAATCAGAGAGAGCCATGTATCATATGACCTCATTGATATGAGGAATTCTTAATCTCAGGAAACAAAGTGAGGGTTGCTGGAGTGGTGGGGGGGTGGGAGGGATGGGGTGGCTGGGTGATAGACATTGGGGAGGGTATGTACTATGGTGAGTGTTGTGAATTGTGCAAGACTGTTGAATCACAGATCTGTACCTCTGAAACAAATAATGCAATATATGTTAAGAAAAAAAAAAAGAAGATAGCAGGAGGGGAAGAATGAAGAGGGGTAAATCGGAGGGGGAGACGAATCATGAGAGACGATGGACTCTGAAAAACAAACTGAGCGTTCTAGAGGAGAGGGGGTTTGGGGGATGGGTTAGCCTGGTGATGGGTATTAAAGAGGGCTTGTTCTGCGTGGAGCATTGGGTGTTATGCACAAACAATGAATCATGGAACACTACATCAAAAACTAATGATGTAATATATGGTGATTAACATAACAATAAAAAATTTTAAAGAAAAAAAAATGCCTTCTTGGAGCACCTGGGTGGCTCAGTCAGTTGAGCTTCCGCCTCTTGGTTTGGGCTCAGGTCATGGTGGTGAGAGACTGAGCCCCGTGTGGGGCTTTGCGCTCAGTAGGGAGTTTGCTTGGGACTCTCTCCCTCTCCCTCTGAGGGAGGTGTCAGGGAGAGAGAGGTGTCAACCTCTCTCTCTCTCAAATAAATAAATAAATAAAATCTTTTAAAAAATAAAATAAAATGCCCTCTTTATCATTTATCAAAATGCCAAGGCACTTGTGACTTTATTCAATTTCACTAACTTGTCTTTCTCATCTTTACCAAACTATTTTAATTACTCTGGCCTTCTGGTATGTTTTAATATTTGCAAGGTCATTACACTCAGATTATTTCTCTTTCTGAAAGTTTTACAGCCTATTTTTGCATTTTGATTATTCCACATGTATCTAAATCAGGTTTTCATATTGTAAATAAAGTTGTCACTGTTATTTTTACTGTGAGCAAGTTACATTTATAGATTAATTTGGGGGAAAATGACATTTTCACAATATTGACCCTAAGAATGTGATTTATCTTTTCACTTACTAATTTCTTCTGTGTACCTCAGAACAATTTTTAATGTACAGATAAATTTCCTTACATCTTTAGTAAGTTTGTTTTCAAAAATTGTTTCTTTCAGTGTATTTTCTCATTAATTATATTGAAATATGGAAATGTTGCTAATATTCTATTATTGCACTCAGCCATCTTACTGAATTATCTTATTATTTTTATTTTTTAATTTTTATTTAAATTCAATTAGCCAACATATAGTACATCATTAGTTTCAAATGTAGAGTTCAATAATTCATCAGTTGTGTATAACACCCAGGGCTCATCACATCATGTGCCCTCCTTAATGCCCATCACCCATTTACCCCATCCCTCCACCCACCCCCCTCCAGCAACCCTGTTTGTTTCCTATAGTTAAGAGTCTCTTGTGGTTTTTCTCCCTCTCTGATTCCTTACCATTCAGTTTTCCCTCTTTTGCCCTACGATCCTCAATGCTCTTTCTTATATTCCACATATGAGTGAAACCATTTGTTAATTGTCTTTCTCTGAGTGACTTATTTCGCTCAGCATAATACCCTCCAGTTCTATCCACGTCAATGTAGATGGTAAGTATTCACCATTTCTGATGGCTGAGTAATATTTCATTGCATATACACACCACATCTTCTTTATCTATTCATCTGTTGATAGACATCTTGGTAACTTTCCACAGTTTGGCTATTGTGGACATTGCTGCTATAAACATTGGGGTGCAGGTGCTCCTAAGGATCGATACATTTGTATCTTTGGGGTAAATACCCAGTAGTGCAATCACTGGATCGTATGGTAGCTCTATTTTCAACTTTTTGAGGAACCTCCATACTGTTTTCCAGAGTGGCTATACCAGCTTGCATTCCCAACAGTGTAAAAGGGTTTCCCTCTCTCCACATCCTCGCCAATATTTGTTGTTTCCTGACTTGTTAATTTTAGCCATTCTGACTGGTGTGAGGTGGTATCTCATTGTGGTTTGATTTGTATTTCCCTGATGCCAAGTGATGTGGAACATTTTTTCATGTGTCTGTTGGCCATTTGGATGTCTTCTTTGGAGAAATGTCTGTTCATGTCTTCTGTTCATTTCTTGACTGGATTATTTGTTTTTTTGGTGTTGAGTTTGAATGAATTATCTTATTATTTTTAATATCATTTTTGTTGTTTCTTAGAGTTTCCAGGTACCTGTAAATACCTGGAAATTTGGCAAATCATGAAATTTCTATTTTTGCAGAATTTACATGACAATCTTAAGTAATATTGAGCATCCTTGTGTTTTTCCTGATTTTAATGGAAATGCAATTTGTTTTTTTTATTAATAGTAATGCTGCTTTATTAAGGTATTTTTTTTTAAGATTTTATTTATATATTTGACAGAGAGAGAGAGAGTTAGCGAAAGAGGCACCACAAGCAGGGGGAGTGGGAGAGGGAGAAGGAGGCTCCCTGCTCAGCAGGGAGCCTGATGTGGGGCTCGATCCCAGGACACAGGGATCATGACCCAACCCAAAAGCAGATGCTTAACCAACTGAGCCACCCGGGCGCCCCTTATTAATGTATTTTTAAGAATAAATGTTGACTAATTATATATATATATATATGGAAAATCAATCATTCCATATAGGTTTTCACATCTATTTAACACAGAGAAGGAAATGATTCTTGTATTGCTCGTCTTTTCTTGGAATCTGTAATCATCTGTGTTACGCACTGAATGTTTGTGTCCCGCCCTTCTCAATTAATTCATATATTGAAATCTTATCTCTCAATGCACTGGTATTAGGAGGTGGGGACTTTGGAGGTGATTAGGATTAGGTGAGGTCGTGAGGGTAGAGCCCTCATGAATGGGATTAGTGCCCTTCTAGGAGTCACAAAAGAGCTTGCTTCTTGTCTCTGCTCTCTGGCAGGTGAGAAAACAACCAGAAGTCAGCAGTCTGCAGTCTGCACTGGAAGAAGGCTCTCTCCAGAATCCAACTTTGCTTCCAGCCCGGAGAACTGTAAGAAATATATTTCTATTACTTATAATCTACCATGTTTAGGGTATTTTATTATGGTAGCCCAAGCTAAGACAATTTGCAAACACATCATTCTAATTTTGTGTGTTTCTGCATTTCCTACTTTAAAAAAAATTATAGTAGCTAGCAGTTTTAAATTTTATTAGGTTTTCTTTTTCAGAGAGCCTGCTCTTTCATTTGTAGTTTAAGTTTTTCTCTGTTTTCTGAATCACTAATTTCTACTTTTATCTTTGTGAATTCTACTTTTCCGGCTGTCTTAGGTGTATTAATTTTTTGTTCCTTTTCAAGTTTTTTTATTTGGTATTTAATTAATTTTTCTGCATTCTTTATCATCTGAACATTTAAGTGTTGGTTTCTTCTGCTGGTATATAGTGTTCCCTTAAAATACTTTTTCTAATTGTTTTGCAGTTTCTATCTTTTTTTTTCTTTAGCAGAAGAGCTGTTTAGAGGAGAGATATTAAATTTTTAGAGAGTTTAAAATTGCACTTTGCTCAGAGAATATGGTATATATATCCTAAAGTTTAGAATGCTAGAATGATATTGAGATTTGTTTTGTTTATTATAATACTGTCAATTATACTTTTATATATAATTCCCTAAATATCAATTATACTTAAGAAATGTTCAAGATACAGTATTTATTTATTTATTTCTGTTATAGGGATATAAACTTTGATACAGATCAAGTCCTCTCAACTTTTGTACTATTGACATTTTGAGCCAGATAGTTCTTTACTGGGGGAGGTAGTAACTGTCCTGTGCATTACAGAATGTTTAGAAGCATTCCTCATCTCTACCCACTAAATGCTAGTACCGGATATTTGAGTGTGATTAATACTAATTAAATTGGATACCCTGTTTTGTTTTGTTCTATTAACCTGATGTATATTTGCCAATTTCCTTATTTCGTACTTTTAGATCATGTAGCATGCAATTGTCTTGTTTACAAGTTATATTTGACATTAAAAAATATTAGTTAAAGTCATTTAAACTTGTTATGAGGGATCTTTCTGGTATGACGGAGATGTTCTCCACCTTGATAGAAATGTAGGTTGCATGCAATTTTCAAAATTCTTGGAACTGATGTTAAATATATATGCATTTTTGTATGTAGATTATGTCCTTTGAAAAATTCTCTATAAGTGATACGTTTTTTGACTAGTCAAAAAAAAAAAAGTCCCTTGATGCTTGACACATTAGGAGACACATGGCCAGTCTCTCCTGGGCTGCTAAACACAAATGGCATTTCCCCATTTCTCTGCCATTCTTTTCCCTTTGCCATCTATGGAACAGTGACTATTTTGGCTTAGAGAAAAACATGGTTCTGGCTTAGATTTGAAATTTTACAACCATGTCTGCTTTTTTATAACACAGTTTTCTCAGTGTAGTCCTTTTCTTTAATACCTGCTTGTATAGACCTGGGTTAATTAGCCTCTTCTCATGAGTAAAAATTCATCCTTTTTATTTAATAAAGTTATTGAACCAGGATATTCCTGATAGAAAAGTTATTACAGTCATAGACACATCTGAAACCAAAGTGAAAGGAAATGTGTTTGAAACAAGAGAACAGTGATTTTTTAAAATAAAAACATCAATAGCACATTATTAAGGTGGCAGACTTTTAATGAAGAAGAAAAAAGTACAATGAGCTGTAATCGTGAGATAATGTTGAAAGCATTGAATGAATTTTTTAAAAAGGTATTACATTAGAGATATCTGTAATCTATTTTTCTTTCTCTTTAGTTTAAAAAATATATAATTTCCATACTCTAATTCTACTGGGTTGTAAAACTATTTAAAAGCCAAACCTAACAAATGAAACATTTAAAAAAATGTAATAGAACAGCCAAACACACCAGAACGCTATATTGTTAATACTGTAATATGCAGTCTGTCTAACGTCCCTTCTGATTAAAAGTTAGAGAATTTATGTCATTAATCACATAGCTTCCAATGGCATTTATCTCAGGTGTATGCTTAGATTTAAACATTCTAGCAAGATACAATTTTTTTTCTCCACAATACCTTAATACTTTTAGGATATCAAGAAATAAACTTTAATGAAGGTAAAACATTTGTACAGCAGAAGAGAATGGGCTATATATGAAGATTTTTGATGTTTTGGTTTGAGAGACATTGAATGGGCTACAAAAATTTAGAATATTTCTGCCCATGGTTATTTAAGAGTTTTGTCTCTTATAAACTTTACTTGGAGACTCTACTTGTCTTTTGTAATCTTTGTTGGAAACAGTTATTGTCCAAATTGTTAATAAGAGATGACATTGGTGATATGGAAGGAAAGAATGTGGATCAATGTACTTGATATTTGTGTTACAGAGCCCATAGATTTCTTGAAATTAAGGATTGCAATTGAAAATTGCAAATACCTAGGAGTGTTTGGAGATCAACTCTTTAAAAAGTTAACCTTATGTTTTTAGTAACTGTATACATATTGAGAAGCTTGCACAAAATTAGAATCTGTTTTATGAATCACTTTTGATGATGTTTGCACTTATATAAGAAAAAATGTTCTCTGTAAAATATATAGAATATTAGAATTCAAAGCATCCTCTTTTCTTCATATTTAAAAAAGGTTAACTTTTTTATAAAAGACTCATTTGTATTGTTTCAGTTACTGTAAATTACTGAAGTGTGTTAAGCTATAAATAGGTGGTGTTCTCTGCTGAAAAGTGCTTATGGGGAGGGTAAACATAAAGATTAAACTGCACACAAAAAATTCATTTAGTTTATATTGCTCAAGGTGGAGGATCTGGAACTGCTTTCTATTATAATGCACTGATGCATTAACCTAAATGATGAAGGTCCACAAATAGATATCCTAGAGACTTTGGTACTCATAACTAGGTTTTGGTTGGGCAGAATGTACTAGTAATAAAATCAAATATACTGCTGATGTTGAAGACGTGGTTAAGGAGTATAAAATATTCTTGTTCAATAATTTTATGAAATAAAAAGGTTAGGCTTCTACTCACTAGAAGAGGTTAGTAACGTCGTCCTACGCAAACAAATCTTAAACAAAAAAAAAAAATGACTACTTTGAAGTTTAGATGGAGTTGTGATTAACTGAGACAGGGGAGTTTCTGGGTGTCAGGTTACTGCTTAGCCTTAAAATTTCTCTGTACTTTCCAAGAATCAACTTACGCAGGAAAGTTCTGGCAATGTGTAAGCCAAATGTAAATGATAGTCGTGAGGAGGTGGAGAGTTTTAAAAAAAAGAAAGAAGAAAGGGGCACTTTTATTTTATACCTCTATTTTTTCCAATACACATTTAAGTGGCTTTCTTCTATTTGCAACTAAAAACTTGGTCTTAGTTATCTTGAGATGATCTTTTCAAGATCTCTATGTCTTTGATTGCACTATCTCTTTTGTTTGGTTCTTTCTTAGGGAAGAAAACATGATGTAAATAACTTTATATTCTCAATTCTGCACATTTCCTGGCACTAAGTTGTACTCTATAAATGATAAGTGTTGATTAATTTTATGCACTTGTGTTTCCATGCAGAAAATAAACAAAACCCCACACATGTCTCTTTCCTTACAAGAACAGAGACATTGGTAACATTTGGTGTGAGCATTGCTGGATGTCAGTATTCCTTTACCTGCCCCAAATAGTCTAAGCAAGGTCATCCTTAGCACCTTCCTTTCCCTCCTCCAGCTTTTCCTGCCAACCCCTGGCCCCGATTCATCCACATAAACTCAGGGGCAAATCGTCATTTGGTTTCTAAGTACCTCTTCTATCATTCCAAACTCCCTCGTATCCAATTCCTTTTCTGCTTTGCCACAGCTGCCAGTGTAGCTTCACCCCTCACCATTTCTCTGCACCCTCCACCTCTCACCTGGAACACCGTAATAGCATCCTTGCTGCTCTTTCTGCCTTCAGAGTCTCTTATATTCCAGTCCATCATCTACAGAGCAAGCACCATAGCATCATCATTTAAAAAATAGATTTAGTAGTTCACCTGCCATGCTTCAAACAAAATATTTATGATTCTCTGCGGCTTACAAGACAAAATCTAAATGGTGATAAAATGGAGATTTAAAAAATCTGCTTAATATTTATGTTTAAAATTCCTATTTCCACTCATAGATGCCTAAATATGTTAGCTGATTTTCATTTTTAGAATAAAATAATAGGCATCTTTTTTTTCAAAAAATACTAACCTACTTGGAATTCATCTTAAGGGCAAAGTTGTACTGGATAAACAAATATTATTTCTCTCCATTATAGTGATTTTTGCTATGTTCACATAATCTAAAATATGAGCTGAAGGATTAATGATAGGTCAGGTCCCCTTTAAATCTATTCTCAATGGCAACACAAACTGCAAAAAGAATCCACACTATTTAAGTCGAAATACATCAATCACGGAAATGAGCAGACTGCAGGTCCAGGTCAATACCTTCCAGCCCATTAAACAGAGGGAAGGAAAGCAAGTTTGCTTACGTTCAATATGCCAGAGAGCAGGGATGAATAGCAATAATGCATGTCTCTGACTACAGCTTGCCAATATTAACTTGAAAAATTATCAATCATTAATCCATCACAGTCTTAATTATTACTGAACTTCTGCATTAACAGGAAAGGAAATTTAATAAAATAAGTTAAAGAGCTCTGGTTTAAAAAACCATCTTATTAGATTATATATCTAAAGACCCATCCTGATACTAATGAACCTAGACATTCCAAAGGAATCCTGTGGCAGGTTATGGATGAAGTTATGTCATAGAAGAAATTAAACGTTCTAAGATCTACTCATTTCTTAAAAACAGAAGTCTTGTTATTCTAATACTTATTCATATTTAAGGCAATGTAAGAAGATCCAGAGCCGTTTTCTACTATTAGATATGGAGGAATGAATGCTCATTCTGCTTTCCTTAATCACATAAGACCCAATGACAATTAGGGGCAACAAAATTCTCATAATAGAGTAAGATAGTGTTTGGCCTTAACACGACCAGCAGTTCAGTTGAAGCATCAGGATGATATAATGAACACTGAGAGGGAAGCTTGAGTAGTTTAAACAGGAAGCCAGACTGTTCAGTTGCAAATGTCTATAATATTAAACCTGGTCCATCTGTCATGTTTCTCCTTTCCCCTTCTCTGGGCAGATAGAGGGATGATGCTGTGCTTTACTCCTTGAAACACGCCTGTGGAATACGGGCAGAGTAGAAGATTCGTGACGCCTCATCATTTAATTGTATAATATGTTTCATAAATCTTTAACAATCTTTATCTTATTTGTGGCTTAAATAACTATGAAATCTTTGTAGCGCATTTTTAACGTGTTCGATTAATCTCTAAAGAACAGGACCAGCTAAGGAATATTTTTTTTAATTTTTTTTTTATGTTACCCGTCTTTAGTACTGGTCATTCTTTTAAATTTCCTTTTACAAAATCTGAATGCTTCAAACATACACAATTTCATTGCTGTTGTTTTCAAAATGATAGCATTTTGATAAAAGAAAAGGAGACCCCATTTGGTTTTCCTGATTAGAGAAGGAAAAGCAGCAGGAAAAAAATGCTGCTCTTCAAGTCAATAACAGTCAACATCAGTAAAGCAAGTAATGCTTGGGAGCAATGTTTAAAGTTGAAAGCAGAGTAAAGTAATGGCCATTAGCTTCTAGTGCCTAGTTGTGCCTTCCCAGTCAATAGCACGTACAGTAGAATATTATATTTGATAATTCAACTAAAGTATAGTCATCCATTAACCTCAGGAGAATCAGGGCTCCATGGCAAGCCCGAGACGTGCCTCACACAAGGTCTCTATTACTTTCAGCGGTCAGACACTGGAACACAGTGAATATAAATATGTCCTGAAGTACTTTCGGTGATTTTTGCAGAAAGACATTTTGAATATTCAGAGACTCTTAAGATTAAGAGTTAATTAAACATGAATTAGATTATATAGAAAAAGATGATAAAAACTTCATTTAGCGGCAGTTTTTTTATAGGAATGAAAAACATTCCTATGTTATTTGGTCACTAAAAGCTCTGCCATAATTCTCTAACACTTCCCTTTTTGGTCAAAAGAATTAATGCAAGACCACACTGTATTCCCAAAGAGACTGAGATTTGGAAGAAAGGTGTTGTCTTTAAGGTGCCTTATTACTTTAACCTATTTATTTAAACTTTATTGAAAAATCAGTGTAATCAAACTCTAACCCTTAAATTTAATTATATAAGTCATCAGTTACCTTTCCTTTTAGTGTTTAACCTCAGCGTGCTGTGTTGTTAAAGCAATAATTTTTATTCACATGTGGAATGTGAACCTAACCATGCATTGTACTTGCCATAAAATTGCTTTTCTTTTCATGATTTCTTTTCATTGTTTTGGTGCTGAGTAAAATGGTAAACTCAGTGTTAAGTCGAATCACTCAGCACACGTCCCATTATGAAAATGGACCAGGAAGAGGAATTTAAAAAACGAGTGAATGGACCCTCAAGAGAAAAGTGGGAGAAAAGAATGGTTAGCAAGAAAAATACTCTTCCTAACTATGAAGAGATTCATTTACACTTTGATTGCTAAAATATTTTGCCAGATCATTTCGAGTATGTGTTTGAATAAACAATGCTCATTGCTGAATATATCAATGTGCTATTCTCCATACTTGGTAGAGTGTGTGTACTATTCTTTTTACAGTGTCCTCAGTTCTGCATTTTAATTTAATTTTTTTTTAAGTTTATGCATGCAGATAGTTTAAAAGTCAAATAATTCTTTTTTTTTTAATTTTTAAGATTTTATTTATTTGTCAGAGAGAAAGAGAGCACAAGCCGGGGGAGTGGCAGGAAGAGGGAGAAGCAGACTCCCCGCAGAACAAGAAGCCTAATGGGGGACTCGATCCCATGACTCTGGGATCATGACCTGAGCCAAAAGCAGACACTTAACCGACTGAGCCACCAGGCGTCCCAAAAGTCAAATAATTCTACTAGCTCAGGAGAATTAGAGCAAGTCCTCCCTCCCTGCAGTTCTCATACACCATAAACTCTCACTTCTTTTAGCTATTTTGGTTTTTAATTCTTTTTCTCTGGTAGTTGTCTCCATATTTCTAAGTAACAAGCTCATAATAAGTTTCTTAATTTTTCAATTTCAGAGTTATTGGATTTTTACTAGGAAAAAGGTAGTTCTATGACGATTTGCCCCTTGTAGACTCTGGTTTACTTGAGGCTTCAGTGAAACCCCCACCGTCAGCAGATTTGGGTTTCAGTTTCTCAGGTTCTCCGTCTACAGTAGTGACGCGCCACAGCTCTGTCATGCTGGGGAAGGGGTCTGAGCAGCTGAGTGCACAGACTTGCAGCCAGTCCTATTCCTAGCCCCACCCGAACTCCTTTCAGCGGAGTAACACCTCGGCCTGTCTGGGGTTTGCTGGCAGCAGTCCGCTTACCTCCTTGACTTCACCCCTTCAGACCTATGTTACCACTTTCTTAAGTCCTGCTTAATCAGGCGTCTCGTGTACATGTGCTTTCCTGCTGCCCCAAGTTTGTCATTGTCTGCTCTTATTCTGTTCTCTTTGTTCTTGTGGAATTCCATGGCCTTTTATCCTGTTCTTTCTGGGGGGGGGGGGGGGGCGGTTTGGAAGAGTGCACAGGGACAAAAATTTTCCTCCTGCCATGTTTGTATCGCTGATTTGTTTCTGTCTGTTATGAACTCATTGGATAGGCTTAATTCAAATGTAGTAATATTACAAAAGTATTACAAAAAATAGTTTTCTATAAAGCAGCTCAAATCCTTCTGATCACTTCTGCCTGTAATCACTTTTAATCAATGATCTTTATTTCAACAACGTATGTATTTTTATTACCACTACTTCAGTTCTTTCTCATTTATGTAATAGCTATTTGTACACGTGCCTGATAGTAACAATTCCACTCGCAGCATAAAGAAGTGCTCATTTGATGTTTCCAAATGTCGACAAAAATGTCCTTCCTCTAGCCCTGTGGAGTGGTTGGTGAGAGGCAACCTTCTCTCTCCATTTGCTAGCAGAACAAGGGAGCTACTGCCCGGACTGTGAAATTCCCGAGGCCACCCCCAAAATCAGTTATTTAAGATTCAAGTATTTCTGTCCTCTCTTGTTTTAATAAAATCGTGAGATATCACTCAGTTCTTTACAGTGAAATTCGTCTCAGTACAATGAAATACCTTCCAACACAATCAATCTCCACTATTTCCCAGAAGGATTTGAGGAAAATTAGGAAAATCCGTACATTACAAGCATATCTTTTGGATAGCAGAAAAATTTCCCTTGGAAAGAACCTACCCATCTGGTATATTTTTTCGTCATCAATATTTGTCAAAGATTCAAAATAATGTAATACCCTCTTGGGCAAACCAGGGACTTGGTTACCCAAGAAGGGAAAACCTATATGCATGCTGTCTTTCCACTCAACCGTATAATGCAGCACTTTACCATCTCCATTAAAAGACTGACTTTGTACCCTACCATGCATTTTATAATATTTCTATCTAAATGCAGATTTCTACATTCCATGTGTACCATGTAGTCAGGTTTTCCATAAAAATACCAGCAGGAGAGTACATTGAAATTCATTTTGCATATTAAAGAAATTTCTCTCTGAGATTCCTTCTTTTATTTGTTTTATCAACTCAAGCAATAAGCAAGAAAATTAGAGTTTCAGCAATGATGGAAAAGCTATTTATGATTTTATCAGCCTTGCTGCTTTTTTTCCCCCTGCTTAGACAAGTTGCAGACTCTTAAGAGGAAGCCAGTTAAAATGTTTCACTGGAAAATGAAATAAGTCTCTCTGTATCATTTCACCCAAGTACTGTACTACTCTATTACCTGGCGACAGCTTCACTGTGAGTAACATGCCCCCTGAATGCTTTTCTTCCCAATATCTACAGCACACATAAAATATGTCCCACAGGGATATGTTCCACTCAAAAGCATTATTACAAATGCCATAATATTTTCTAACATATATCTTACTGGCATGGCCGGGTCAGGAATGCAGTCAGAGCCTAACAGAAAATAATGTCTCCACCCTTCTTGCAAAATTTTTAACAGAGAAAGCAAATTTGGAAATGACTGTCACTGGAATTATGGCAAATTTTCAAGTAGCTTATATGCAGTTTACCTAAGCATTCCATATGCCCACAAGCAATTTTGTATGTAATGAATAAACATAATACATGGAAGAGTAAAACATACATGAAATTAAAGAAAAAAGGTTTCTAAACCTCTAAATACAAAAATGAAAGTTAAAAACACTACACTTTCCCATATTTATTTTCTACATTTATTTTCTAAAGTCCATCTTACCTTTGAAAAATATTATGTAAAAGGAAACCGAAATAGATTATCTACACATCCATGCATTCAAATACAAATGAGAGTTTATGTCTGAGGAAAAGCATTTTAGTAAACCAATAGCAGTAACTTAGAATGTTTAAACAATTTAAATGAATTTGACCTACTCCAGGTGAGTGACTATAAATGGCCTGAAAACTATTTATTATTTTATATGCATTGTTATTTTACCCTCATTTAGATGATTTATATCTCTAGCATAAAAACAGTTTTCTAGTCCATTTTTTTAATTGTCCACACAGATTTTACAACTTTTAAGGCCAAACTATTTTTAAATTTATTTAATTCCTACATGCATACCTTCTTTTCTATTTAAATATAACAATTTTTAGGTTTTCATTGTTCACTGTATCTTCAACAGTGAGAACCCATTTGGGGGAGAAACAGAGTACTGCAGTTTCTCCTTCTAAGTTTCAATGGGCCAATTTCATATCATGATGAAATATATAGATAATCACGATATGTTCACACATTTAGAAACTAATACTTTGAATACATTTTGAGTAGAGCACATAGCACACGCTTCACTTTTATTTGTTAATTTTTTAGAAACTGAAATAAAGCTGAGAATACTTTAGATATTTCTGATTTTTTAACAGCATTATGGTGGTGATTTAAATTCAGTCAAGATGGACACAGCTGGAGGAATGGAAGGCCTGATCCAAACTGCTAGATGACTACATTATGGTCCAGGTCCAGGGGCATACTGAGTTGTCAATGATCTGAAGAATGGCATGAGTCAGTATTTGACTCTGCAGATATTCTCTTCTTAGTGGTAGAATGAGTCTTCCAATGACTGTGTATATCAGCTCTAATTATGATATCATGTGTATTTTTCACCACATCACCTATAAAAACTGCTTACCTACCTTTGCTCAAATCTTTATTTCCTCCTCAGCAGAAGTCCAATAACTAAAGCACATTTGGTCTGCCTCTTTAATCATTGCATCCTAATATTTTATTCTATTCAGCCGGGAAAAAACAAAGTAAAAAATGCTCTATGTGGCCTTCTGTGGGAAAACAAGAACAGGCACTGTTATGAAGGGGAGAATCGTGTATGTCATAGACTTTTGAAAGGATTTAGCATGGAGCTCAGTAGAAAGGGAATGATTTTCACAGCTTTTAGAGGAAGAAGTTGGGAATACTAAATCGAAAAAGAGCTTACTGCAAGGCCAAAAAGACAACTATTTTTGGCAGCTTTAAAATGAAATGAAACACCTCACTTCCAGGAGAAGGTTGCACATTGTCCCTGGTGAGACAAAGAATTAAATACTTGTCACAGGTGATCTATGGCTGACATTCTGAACGATATGGCAGAGTAAGGTTGCAGACCTCTCTGGTAGTTGTTTCCTCCCAGTTGAGCAATGAAAAGCCAAGGACAAAGCTTCAGCTCGGTGGTTCTTTTCCCCTTCAAACTATCCTTTCTAATTTATCCACAGGAATAACATTTGAAAGGAAAAATGTTTAACCAAGTTACTCAAAATGGTATAATGGTGTCCACAGTTTATAGTCAAAATATTCCTTAGCTTGAATTCCCATACGGTGTTACTATTAATCCAAGTATTAGGTATTGTGACTCCTACTGTTTAGTCCCTGAGAGCAAACATTCATTAGCAGAGTGTAATACAAAGTAAACAGAATTTTACTGCATACCCCTAGCTGATCTCCTACCCGCTTTCGATGGATATAATCTAATTTGGAGCAGGCGTTGGCCCTGCATTAAATAGCAACTATCTGAGTTTATACAAACAAGGAAAGGATAGTCTGTTCAAGTGTTGTCCTCCCATTTTTACCCTTTCATTTCACATTTTTTGATCCCTCAATGATGAATGAAGATGTTTAGAAACTCAAATTCATGAGCTAGGATTTGCTTTACTGAAGAGTTAGAAATGTCTGAGTGCTAAATTGCATAATTATTTCATTATTCTCTCAGTACACAGAACTACTTACGCCAGGTAGATTCTTAGGTCATATTTCTACAAAGGTATTTCTTCAAAGTTTTCATAGATCAATGCACGGTTTTATCTTGATACCGAGTTAATGAATCTGGAGGAACAAATTGTTCATATATCTCTTAGGCCATTCCTCTAGAATATCCGGTGAGCCAGGCTAAAGCAATTTAATTTCTCATCACATTATTGACCATGTTGTAATATGAGTCTAGACTTAGTGGGTGGAAACTTTATTTAACTATGGACATACCAACTGCAGCTTGACCCTCAGCTTGTGCATGGCAAGAAACTGTATGACAAATGGCATTAAAATACTCTGAGGATATATATCTATATGCATGGATAAGTGTGTCTATATGTGAATGGTCTATACATATGCATCATATGCAAAGGCACACACTTATAGTGTTACAAATGAACTTTGATCCCCTCAACATTTCACTGTGAATGCTGTTTTCAAATCTTTAAAGTAAGGCCTTTGAACCCTCTATGATTTCTATAACCCTATCCAATTTGTGATCCAGGGAAAGCAATGATAAATGAAATGGAAATGTATTAGATCATAGTTTCTACACATAAGCATGTGGGTTTTATTTTTAGTTCAGTTAAGAATTTAGAATTAACCCCTTTATCTTATGAAAGAAAATGTGACTGTGCCTGTGCAATGAATTCACATAGTAACCCAATCCCTACTGAGATTATTTCCCAGTGATATCCTCCATAACTTTTCACAAAACCAATTCATTGCCTCTGGCCCCCTTTTCTTCAGCTCATCTTGAGTCACTTGAAGTTAGTGTGTTTGTTTCCAAGTCGCTGAACAAATGTAATTTCTCAGTGAGGTCTACTCCCAACACCCTATCTAAAATTTTAACCCAGCTGACTTACCATTTTTGATCCCTCTTATCTTGCTCCAATACTTTTTCTATAATACTATCATCTTTTAGAATAGCCTACAATTGGGGCGCCTGGGTGGCTCAGTCAGTTAAGCATCTGACTTCAGCTCAGGTCATGATTTTAGGGTCCTGGGATGGAGCCTTGTGTCTGGTTCCACACTAAGCGGGGAGTCTGCTTCTCCTTTTTCATCTCCCTCTGTCCTTCCCTCCGCTCGTGCTCTCTCTCTTTCAAATAAATATACAAAATCTTAAAAAAAAAAAGAATAGCGTATGATTTGTATGTATTATGT